TATCTGGGCGTAAACTTTACGATCCCATCCATAGACTTGAAACATCTAGCTCGAAATTCAATCGAAGAGGAGTTATCTTTCTTTGACTTGAACCGAAGTTCTGGAGAAGAAGTTTTCTTGTCTTTCTTCTTGAGAGCTTTGAATAACGCTCTGGATGACTTCAAAGCTTTAGTGAAATCGCGATAAGTAGAATCCATTACTTCTTCTGGTACTTTGAGATGGTATTCCGGAAGGTAGTTCATCATCGAGTGCTTCTAGAGATCGAACGATACTTCTGCGAAAGCTCGGAAAGCTTGAGCTTGTAACAATCCTCCCTTGAACTTTCTACAAGCTTGTTGTAGACTGCTCGATGCGTTCCGAACATTTTGTTAAGAAGAATCTTCTGAGGCTTTATGGGATAAAGTCTGATCTTGATCACGCTATTAGGAGTCTCGCCGGGATAAATTGCTTCGGAGGATGACGAAAAGCTTGGTCTAGATTCCTTCTCAATCACGTTATTGAGTTGGAACCATGACTTCTGCTTGATCCCTTTCGTTCGCGCACGAGAACGATCGTCCTGAGCTAATGGAAGCCATGTTTCGCCCGCCCGTCGACCGACAGACGCTTTCCACCATTCTGGTCTTTCTCCCATGATTGGAAATTCAAGAATGAGTGAAGGGCGTTCTATATATAGGCTTCTAGAAAGCTACAGTTCCTACCGAGATACCCATCGATGACACAACATGCCAGAGGATTTCGCAGTAACAGCTATTAGGCTCGCAGAAATTTAGGCTGTGTGTTGTTTACACAAACCTTCCCGTAATCCATTCAGGATCAATCTAGACCCCACGCATTGCAGGCAACAAGCAGCCAGCGATTATGTGCTTGTATCACGGTAATATCGCGCATTTCGTCATCAAGCATTAATCAACCTCGGCAGTATTGAGACGGGGTCACACAGCACCTTGTGCAGAGGAAGTTGACTTCCAAGAATATACAAACTCTAAGTGAACGACCGTTCACGTGTCCCTGGTCTGAGGGGACGAAGTACTCACTTGAGGGTACGATTAAGACTCATTTTTATTTATAGGTAAACTTAACTCAGTTTCTAATACAAACTACAAGTCACCTATGTAGATATGCAATGATTGGCTTCTAGAGCCCCTGGTACCATGTACCGGGTATTTCAGAGTGACTGGTCACTCTTCATGTAACTTGGGTACACTTGGGGTATGTACCCCGTTACAAGTATCGTGATTTTTTTTTCTTTTCGTATTGGTGGATAATAATTATTAGCGTTCCCGGCCCCGTTGGTTCCGGGGGAAAGGCGCAGTTCGTAAGAACTTCTCCTTTATGGATAAAGCAAATGGATAAAACGATGGACTTGAAGTTTTTTTTTTTTGCTAATTCGTCCTCTAAAATAGAGTCGTAATAATAACAAAAAATCGAGGTAAAACAAATATGTGTTATTAGAGGCAGTAACACCTAGGACTAAACTGTTTTCAGAGGATACAAACCAACGGCGACATATGCGACCAAGGGCACCACAAAACGCACGCCACACGGCATACTGCAGGTGCGACGTGCTTTCTTCTTGAAGCTTAATCTAGCGATGCTAAGACTCGCTTGTGTGGTGCATTTTGTAGCGAAACATCAAGCGGCGGTGAG